AAACCAGTGAATTTTCAAAAGTGAGACCTGAAAGATGGATCTTCCACTGGGTAAGCCAGAGATTTTCTTCACACCTCTCTTGTCAATTATTCTTGTTGCTTTCTCAAGATTCTTACCAAACAAAAAATGCAAGCTGGAATTGCAAGCAAATAATTCAATTTCATAGCCAAAACCCTAATCATACTCTTGCCACAATACCAAAACAACTGAACAAAATCAATACTCAAATTGCAGAAAAACAAAGGAATTATCAGATTCAATCTCTGCCATGTTATCAATTATAAGATAGAATTGGATTAGGGAAAAACTGACATTGAGAGCTGTTCTTCAGTTACTGCCAAAAGAAAAAATGGTAAAATTCAACGAAAATTCCATTTTTTTCTCGTAAACAAGGAAAACGAAAGATAAGAAGTGAAATTGGTGAAGTACCTGTTCCCGTAGATTCGATATCCGACCAGACGCTGTCTGCAACCAATAGAGTGACACTCATCTTTCCTCTGGAGAGTGACGATGAAACAACGCTCGTTCTCAAAATCGCTTTCATTGAATATGTTTGGATCTTGGTTTGGTTTGGTTCTGAATTTTCAATTTGTTAAAGTAATTGGTTCGGTTTGGGTCGGAAATTTGGAGTTTCGGTTCGTTCGAATTACAAATTGAACCAAGTTAAAGTGTTTACACTTTAGTTCGGTTATAAATGGTTTGGTAAATTTCGAATTAAATACACAGACTGATTCTCTCTCTACAAAGTCATTAAACAAGAAGCTGAAAATGTTGACTTGCTTTCACTATACTTAATTTTACACAAAAAGGTGTAAAATATTTGTATAATAATAATAAGACACAGAAACATGGTATAAGGTGAAAAGAGTAGGTCAAGTTAAAATTGTTGGTTTCACGAGTACACGAGTGTTTGTTTCAAGCTCCACTTCAATGCACACACATCCCATTAATTTAATGGGTGTTTCTATGTATGTACTCCGTGAGACAATATACATAGTTGCTTTTCTCTCAATATATATTTGTTTTTACTTTTCAAACAAGAGATTTGAAAATAACTTCAGTTTGGATATGTCTTTAAATAAAAGCTCATCAGAGAGAGCTTTCTACTCCCTAAGAGAGTAGGAGAGAGTAGAGAGACATCTCTACTCACTAGTCACCTTAGC